CAGCAGGAAATTATGGCGGTGGAGAAGCAGCCGCAGGTTTACTTGCTCAAGTTTTCTTGTTACGACCGGATGGGGTTGTTGCACGGTGATACTCTCTCTCCTTTGTTGGCTTTCATTTGGTTGGCCTTTGTCATTTCCTTGATAAAAAAACCCTTTTTTATTTTGTCAAAGATTGAGTCCACTTTTTCTTAAATGGAATTTGGAACCTTTTTACTGATAATCTGTAAACTTCGTAACCTGTTTTTTTGCTCTTGTTTTTGGTGGTTTTAGTAGCTGCATTGACTGATTTGGGATTAATAAGGTTTGTTCAACTCTTTAATATGTTTATTATGCATCTTAAATGTTGTATACCTTGTCATTTTTTCTGTTGCACGTGCTACGAAGAGTTTTAACTTCTTTCTTTTTATGACCTTCTTATGAACTGAGATTGCTTTTGCGTGTCATTTTGTAAATTAATTGTTGATCTCTTTGTCTATGTCATTATGTTGTGGTTAGATGTGACAATGGTGCTATGTGAACTGGAACTCACAATAAGGAGGGTAAATGTTTCCACCACTCCAGATGGGAGAGTCATGGACCTCTTTTTTATTACGGACACCAGGTATCCGTTATCCCTTCATTTTGCCTCTTTTCTAGATATAGCTATCTTGTGTGCTCTTATATTGCCGTTATGGGATTTTCATACATACCACCCAATTTTTATGTATTTACATATCTAACACTTAAACTTTGCTTTTTTTATGTTTAGACTACCCATGTCTTTCTTTTCACGGTAAGATATACCACCATTTTAACTTTTAAAATGTGAAATACACCTTTGCATGCATAGGTAAGGAGGTATGCATGTAGAAATTGAAGTTTAGGAGTTAGATATGTAAATACTTAGGAATTAAGTGGTATGTATGTGAATCTTTCTTTTTTTATTATATCGCATCTAATATTCTGAAACCACAATGCCTGTATTTATTGCTATTTAATGTGTGCCTGCAAAGTTCATTTATTATTTATTTTTTAATGGGCTGGATCAATGTTCTCATGTTGCATTCTTACTTGTTATAAGGAAGAAGTGGACAGCAAAAACATTATATACAAGGACATAAAAATATTTTTTTCCAAACTTAGTCTCGCTCCTGCATTTGATGCATGTGACTGTTAAGCCTTGCCGAGGTAAGATTGCCAATTTGCATGCTTTGTATTTGGGTTTGAACCCTTCTTTATGAAGCACCTCGTTTTTGTCGACAGCTATCACTTTTGCGAGAATATTAGTGATTTTTTCCTCTTTTATGTTTGATGATTTCTAAGGCAATAACTTTAAACAAGTTGTGCATGTAATGACACTTGAGTTTTATGTTCTTTCTCTAGAGCGTTCATTTTACAGTAATGCCACTTTTGTGATAGTTGAAGTGCTATTGAAATGTGAGCGTTCATTTTTATGATTTATGCAAGGTGATGACATTATGTAGTGGTCGACCAGTTTTATTGATGCATGAATGGTCCAGATCTTATAGAGGAGATTGTGGGAAATAATTTGAGAGTGTACCAAAGAAGAGAATGGGAATAACCAAACTTATATGTAGCATGGAATGCTCTTCAATTACATGTTTAGTTCAACCTTGGTACAGGCTGACTTCACATTTTGTATATTGATTGGAGCTTGTTTTGCTTGATTTTGACTACCAAATTAATGATGTTTGAATATGTTGGTCGACTGTGGAAGGGATGGAGATCTAACCCTCTATTGCGTTTACATGCTCAATCTTGATTTTCATGCAACTGAACTTCATGCTTATGCTTGATATTTTATTTTTTGTACTGTATGATCTCCACCATCTGATGAAAGTCGTCTTAGATGGTTTGGTCACATTAAACGTCGACCATCTGATGATCCGATTAGGAGAGTAGATGTTTTAGATTCGACTTGTGTTAAGAAAGACAGAGGTAGACCTAGGAAGACTTGGGCTTATTGTATTAAAAATGATCTTAATTTACTAGAACTAAATGAAAATATAATATGACACTAAATACACTAAATAAGACGCAATGGAGAAAAAAAGATTCATGTAGCCGACCCCACGTAGTGGGATTAAGGCTTTGTTGTTGTTGTTGTTGTATGATCTCCACCACATCTCAAAATGTTCTTCTCGGTAAAGTTAGTTTATTTCAGTTTTCAGAGGTACTATCGTTAATTGATTTAATATTGACTAAAATTTGGTTATTTCGATGCAAGTCTGTTTAGCACTAAATGTGCCTGTCGACCGTTTTAATTTTGATCTTGAAAAATATAGGAAAAATATAAAAATAGTTTTGATATGAATATGATTTTTTAAAGTATCATTTTGATTTAAAAAAAGATGAGACCAAACGAGTCTCACATTTTGAATAGTTTGGGTGATTAAATACGATACTACAAGTAATACACTTATTCCGAAGAATAAACATATTATCTGTAGTAGACTCAATCACCTAAACTAAAGAATTTGTGACATCTGTTTGGTTTGCGAAATATTTTATATAAGACCAACAAGTTCAACTACCTAATATAAAAATTAGATAAGGTTTATTTTACCTGGATTCTAAGTTCCCTATAGAGGCAAGCCCCTATAGTTAATTACATCTTAAATGACTGTGGTAACTTAAGAAAATTCTCGATTAAGATCAGTGTTTTTAATTTTCAGATTTCAAAGTTTAGGTTTCCACGATTGGACATGGGAAAATCAAATGGGAATGACTCAAAATAGGAATAATTATCTTAAGAAATTCAAAGGAATGAATAATAGGAGACATTACAGATCCAAGAGAGACCCCGGGGAGGTGTCCCAACTATCATAATGTTCGGCTTTATGTCTTTGAAGTGATGTTTATTTGATATTTTAATTCTGTAAATTATTTAGAATTTAGAACTTACATTTGCACAATATCGGACTGTGCAAATAGCCTAAAAAGATACGAGGATTTACACCGTTCCGGACGGTAATTTCGGAATCTTAAAAGTGTTAGGACTTATAATTGCACAACAGAGTTATACAAAAGCCTAAAGGTGAGGTATGAGGGTTTATGCTGCACCAGGCAAGCCAACTCGAAGTCCTAAGGGTTGTTATTTAAACTAAGGAAAGTGTATAGTGTTGTGCATTTAGTTTTATTATCGCTCTTCTGAATATCCTCGTCGTGCTGCCCACAGTATTTGCTCCAAGCTCCTCGTCGTAGCACCTCCAGGTTTAGGTTTAGTTTTGAAAATGCACCTAGCTACTAGATTATCGTATATTAAGGCATAATACAAAAACTAAACAATAAAACATGCAGTGTGAAAGAAAAGCAACAATATACTATACAATAAAGAAGAAGAACAGTATAATATGCTTATAAAAGAAAACATTATAGTGTAAATCAAACCTGTATACCTGGGAGGCTCGTTGCTCTTTTAAGTTTAGTTAGTATGCGCTGTATAAACAGGAGAAAACATGATAAAAAAAAACTCGAGAAAACTGACAAATCGTAGGAAAAATACAAACAAATAAAACAAAATACAATATCACATATAAAAGACCAAGAATAGGAGATTTATATGTGACATTAGGAATACCCCCAATTGCCAGGAGGGTTTGAGTGTAAGATTCAAGCTCAAATCTCGTCAAATCCCGGAGCATTGGGTTTCAGTTTTGGTCATGTTAAGGTAATAATTTCATTATTTGATTTAATTAAATCAGTCATGAACCATAGTGCACCTCACCTTCGTGTCTAGTGTCCTAATTAACTTATGAACTAGGGTCAAATGTCTGACTTCTTAGGTTCATTTGAAAATTAGGATGATGAATTCTCTCTCAGGGTGTGCTCCTAAGGCCTAGGAAGCCTACACTTTAATTTGAGTCTGAAGTGTTCTAAAATGTCTATCTTCAATTAAGTATCTTTCAATTGATCCTCGAACATCTTTAGGTCAAGCTTAAATTGCTATCAGGCTCCTAAGACCTAGGGGTAAACCTATAATTTTGGCAAATGGGGTGTGAAATGTGCCTCAATCCCAGCTAAAGCTATTGAGTTTAAGTTTATTCAAAGCTTAAGGGACTTAATGCAAGTCTACTGATATTTCAATCCGTGCTCCTAATCGTCATTTAAACTCTTACTTTCTTCCAACTCTCAACTATTCTTCCAATTACAATTTCATCTTTCTTATGCAAAAGGAATGGTGAATGATTTGCTATCTTATCTCTTCTTTAGGTTTCTATCATCTCAATAGACTAAATTTCATTTTTAATTTTCTCTTCCTTTCTCTTTTCCTCATATTTTTCTTTAAGATCATGAATCATTTATGAAAATAATTAAATCGGAAATTCTCATTTTTAACGTGACCATAAAAAAAAAATCAAAGAAAAAGGGAGGTCGACCCACTTTTAAAAAAAATTAGCTAAGCAAGGGTGCAAAACCGTAAGTGAATCAACCTAAAGGCATTTAAATTTCTTCAAAGCAAAGATCAAATCAACTCCAAAAAAAAAATGTATCTAAATGCCTCCAAAAATCAACACTTAAAAAATGTCCAAATCGATGCATAAAAGCCTCAAAATGCAACTTAAACTTTAACGATTAAAGCTTTCAAAAATAATGAATAAAGCTTCAAAATGTAAGTTAAAATTTAACGATTAAAGCTTTCAAAAATGACGAATAAGGCTTCAAAATTCAACTTAAACTTTAACGATTAAAGCTTTAAAATGTAGCCCAAACATACCACAAAGAGAGCTTCAAAGTGTAGCCCAAACATACCACTAAAGAGAGCTTCAAAGTGCAGCTCAAATACCATTAAAGAGAGCTTCAAAGTGCAGCCCAAACACCACTGAAGAGTGCTTCAAGTGCAGCTCAAACATACCACTAAAGAGAGCTTCAAAGCTTTTAGATTTTTTTTTTGCAAATAACATACATAGAAGTTTCTGATTTTCAAAAGCAAGACACCCAAAATTTTCGCACCCAAAATTCTCCAATCCTTATCAATTGCACATGAAACATTTTAGATTTTTGCAAAAATAAAGCACCAAAGTTTTCAGATTTTGAAAAGCAAGACACCAAAAACTTTCCAATCTTTTGCAAATAAAACATGTAAACTTTCAGATTTTTGTAAAAATGAAGCATTGCAACTTTTCAAGCTTGCCAAAATGTAAACTAGAATGTGACCTTAATCATGCTTTAAAATCATTCAATTAAGGAGCAAGTAGAGAGCAAAGGAGAGCTCCTAAATGTTTCAAATTTTGCAAATATGCCAACCATAAGAAGAGGAACAAAACAACCACCAAACCAGCCCCAAGAAAGCTCACAAACAAGCTCACGGGCAGAGCCAGAAAGAGGAATAAAACTGCCACCAAATCAGCTCCAAACAAACTCCATATAAGGGACAAACCGAGCCAATCGGCAAACCCAACCCAACGTAATGGCAAAACCAAGCCCAGGACAAGGGCAAAACGAACCCAACAAAAATTGGGAAATCAGAGAATAATTTCCAGCGAAAATCCAATCCCAGAAGGGCCAAACCGAGACCATTAAATGGGCTAACGCAATATAAAACCTTCAGTCAAATTCAACCTAGCAGAAGTCGAAATCGAGCTCATCGAAGCAGCCAAA